ACTTCCAGCCCCACCAGGCACGCGGACCCTGTACTGGCCCAGTGATAACCACTTATGAGTTAAAGTGCATGCCATTTTGGCTACCGAATTAACTGAAAAGTTGGAAATGTTGTGCTACTGCATGTGGGAAAATGACAAGAGGTGAGAAAGACATAAGAATGAACTGTAAGTTTATTCAGCCAAAGTTTATAAGGGATAATAAAATAAAATTGTAAAAAAAGGTCATACTTTTATGATTTATTGAATAGACTATTTTTATATAATTTCTTCTGAAAGGAGTAATATACGTTTTATGGGAACTTGGGAATTTTGGTAGCTTGTATTTATTCAAAGATTATTGGATATCTTATAGGGATGGCCCCAGGAGAACAGCAGGGACTAGAACCCAGGGCTGGCTTTCACATGACTCACCAGTTTAACGAGACAATCAGACAAGTAACCATTTGAAATACGGAGTGAAAAACTTTAGCATAGGAATCAGAATATTAAAGGGGCACAACAGAGACTCACCAGAACTACTCTCATGCATTCTGGACAAAGGTGGGTCCAAGAAATCCTTCCAAACAGAAGTGAACCAACCATTGAGAAAGGGAATGTGCCAGTGAGTATAAAATTTGCCGAAGTGCATAGCCATGAAAAAAACATGGCATATCTGGTGAAATGCAAGTGGAATGGTGTGGCTGGAACCAAGTTTGCACATGGGGTTAGGAGGAAAGTGGACAGAGGAAAGGTTAAGAAGATCCAGCTCATGAAAACCCTTTGCCTGAGGATTTTGGACTTCTATCATGTAAAACAGGGTGATGTGATGAGGAATATCATCTATTTCTAGAAAACTATCGTTGGTATTGCAGAGGAGGGCCCGAAGTGGGGACGAAGAGGAGTCTCCTGCCACTGATGATAGAAAATGAGTTAGAGGGGCACCTGGGTAGCTCAGTCGTTGGGCGTCTGCCTTTGGCTTGGGTTGTGATCTCAGGGTCCTGGGATCTCAAGCCCCACATTGGGCTCCCTGCTCACCTGGAAGCCTGCTTCTCCCTCTCCCTCTGCTGCTCCCCCTGCTTGTGTTTTCTCTCTCTGTCAAATAAATAAAATCTTAAAAAAAAAAAAAGAAAATGAGTTAGAAAGTTCTCTCTACTTAAATCCTCATAACAACCCTGATACAGGGCCTGTATTTCTGCCTATTGTACGGATGAGAAGACTGAGGCTTAGAGAGATTAACTCTCCTCTGAACTACATTCTGCCAAATGTGCAGCTAGGATTAAAGTTGACACCTCCGTCTCAGAACCTTCTTACAGCTCCCAGAGGCAGATTCACCTTGAGGTTGTCAAGCTCAATGGGCATGGGCCTATTCCAAAACTTGATGAAGAGAAGGAGGAAGCAGCATTCTGGTCAGTGACATGGCAGTGTTGCAGAGTGCTGTCCCAGCTCTGGGGGCCACCACATCCACGGGGACACCCAACACCCGGGGTAGCCAATCTTGACCTCAAGTAGAAAGAACGCAAAGAACTACTGCCCTTTACCTGCTGTAACTCCTTTGTAAAATATTGGATCCCCAGTCAATGCCCAGGAGAGATTTGCTGAAATCTGCTACACAAAATGAAATTCAAAATGGGTTTCATCCGGAAAATTCAGTTTAAGTCCTCCCAGAACCCCTGACCCCATCTTTCAGTCTCCAAAAGTCTATCAGCCAGTGTGTTGGTGTTCCTGGGATCTCTGAAATTGCTGGAATAATGTTCACAGCAGCAACCCGGGGCCAAAGCAGCACAAAATAGAATGATTCCATTCTTAATGACAGAATTCAGTCCCCAAATGCCCAGACTCCTTCCTCCCTGACAGAAGACGGAGATCCAGTGGGGTAGACTGATGGCAACTGCTTGAAAAGTTCAGGTACAGACCAAATCTGGCCAAAATGGCAGGAAGGAATGACACTTAACTGAGTGGTTAACACTTTTATTTCAAAAAGCACGATATTGTATATAACACTTTCTGAAAAATAATTAATAAGATACTGTAATTAAATGAATTCTGTTTTTAAACACAATAAGGATGTATAGAATCCCTCAGTGTGAGTTTATTCAAATTTTATTTAAATGGAATGCAACTTAGGCGGGAGACTAAAGGGGCGATTTCTGTCTGTCACAAAATAAAAGCTCTTTTGCGGGTTTTGTTTGCTTATTTATTTATTTAAATTTTACATCCTTAACATATATTACAAGGGCTTCATTATTTGGTTTAGAATATACATACTGTATTTGAATAATTGTTGGGGAGTTCTATGTGCCATGAAAGGTACATTTTCCTTTTTATAATCAATAAACAATAAACTGACACAAAAAGGAATGGAACCATTTAAAAGTTTTGTCTCATTCGAGTAGAATACAGTCTGAAATTCAAAACAGGTTCTCCCTTGAAAACTGCAATTATTTCCCATCCCCCTAAAAAAGAACAAAATGCAGAAACATATACACAATTCATCAGATTTAAATTTCTACCTGCAGTAGACGACACTAAACAGCTGAGCCTTCTGCTTTGTTATGGCTATAGTCACAGAGATAGTTTAAACATGAAAATTGTTTTAAAAGTTTGTTTTCTTCACCTTCTACAAGATACCTTCTTTCTCCACAAATATATTGACCAGCACTTTTTGCATCGAATACACATGGTATATACATGTATGTGGAAAAATACACTTACGTCCTTTAAACTTTCTGGATCCACATAGACATCTCCATTCCTACTGGAAGCTTGGATAGCCAGGATTCTCCTGGAATGTCTGTTTATCAACTCGGTGTATTGCACTGTTGAGCAAAATGCATATCTCTTCCCCTGTTCCTCTGACCCCTGCAAGTCCAGTGTTAATTTTTTACTTTAGGGTTTCATCTACTTAAAACTTTGTACTATGATGTCTACTATATTTAAAGAGGTTGACTCAACAACTCCAACACCCACACACAGAGAAGAAAAAATTCCATCTTGAAAAGCTAACATTCGTTATTCAATATTTTAATATACCATAAAACTTTCCGTTTAGAATTTTCCTTAAAATATATATGCTTCACTTGAGGCTGCCATAAAAATGGAAAGAATATCTTCTCTGATTTCAAAACCATCAAAGTCAGTTTTTTTTTTTTAAACTACTTTCTAAACCCCAGGAGTAGTGTACTTGAAGGGCAAGCATGTCAGTAGCTTTAGAAAATGAGTTGAAGGCAGTTACATTTGATCTCTATTTGAACATTTATTATTTGTACCAATGAATTCTGACTGAAAATGTAACTACTATTATCACTAATTATAATTCTGTAGCTACACCGAAGTGAAGCTGCATCCCTTGATTTCAACTATGGAAGTCTGATAGGCAGGTTGTTTGATTTGTCCTAACCCACTGTCTCCTCAGGAGCTTTCCACTGCACAGATTGTTAAGAATGATTCACAAACTGTTGCTGCCTTCACACAACATACTATAAAAGGTAGCCAAGACATAATTGTATGTGTACTGCACATAAAATAATTGGTGGCTTCAGAATATGTTTTGATACAAAGCCTGCCTGCCCATTGTAGAAAATTGTGTCAATTTATGTAAAAATATTTATTACCTGTAACCATAGATACAGGAAATCAATGTGTGTGTTATGTAACATTATGTCAGTAATGCATTTGTTACTGTTTAGAGATTTCTTTTGCTCCAGATTACTGCTCTGCCAAATAACTTTTTTTTTTTATTATACTAGGGCAAGTGATTGCTGTGCCACATTTGCAATTGTAATGATAATTTTCCTGGGAATGCTAAATTATGTCTTAATTTTATTCAAAAGCTTTTATTTTCAGAGCAATTAAACTTATTGTTGATTGATATTTACCATCTAATGTTCCTGGAACACTAAAATAATACGCTTTATACATAATCTTCCATTATAGTACATTGCTTGAGAGTAGCTATTTGATATAACAGCATTCAGTTGAGTTTTCAAACCAAAGAACAAAAATTATAGCAATTTCACTTGAAATCCATAAATCCATGCACAGGAGTGTGTTCAACAGAATCACTAAATGCTATTTGTTATTCAAAGATGAATGAATCAATAGAAAAACAGAACTGATAAATCATTAGTACTTTAATGCAGAGTGGAGAGAAAAACTAATAAATCATGCATTTCAAGCACTTGTTTTCCTTATGGCATGTTTAAAAACATAAAACATGCAATGATGAGATGCAGGTCAATATGAATGAACAATACCCAAACTAGTCAGAATAGCATTTCATTTTATAATCATAGATTTAATGAAACACTAAGAAAAGTACATATTCCATAATTTCTTTAAACAGAGACTCCAACCATACCATGAATACCGTAAACGACGATTTGGGCCATCATTTCCAAATAAATATTTGAAATGCCATAGAGATGGGAGTGGCCTAGGCTGATGGGAGAGGGTTAATTGCATGCATGATTTGCTTCGGTGAACTTGATATTTTATCAATTTATACTAGAACAAAATTGATACAATCATTTACTTTCTCAAGTGCACTTAACTGATCCATTAAAAATTACAGATACCTATATTTATAAATGATCAAAAAAAGCTAGAAATCAGCGAATTGAGCTTTGACTGTGTTGTATGGCCTATTGTCTGAATAAGGTGAGAACTTTAATTATAATTAATGGGTAATTCACTCTCTTTCCAGAGTTTAAGTCATCAAAAAATTAATCATAAGAACCATAAATTTTCTCCACAATGCTAATTAATTATACATGAACCCACTTCTCTCAAGCATCTTTTTCTGAATCTTTGGTGGGAGATAGTATATTAGGCACATAGTTTAAAACAGCTATTTGGTTACTGGTGTGGTTATGAATTTTCTTCTAGATCCACATGCAGAAAGGAATAAGGCTTGTCATATTACCACAATTTACTGCCAAGTAACTTATTTCTGTTTTCACTTATTTCTGGAATTAAAAACAAAATGAAACAAAATAAAAATCACTTTTCTATTTTTTTTTTTAGCACAAGAAAACTTTATACCTGAAATTTTAAAATCCACTCAGAAGCATCAAGATGTTGAAGAAAAACTATTTAGATACAGCGAGGTATCATAGACAGCTATTTAATAAAATCTTCCAATTAAAAGTTTCTTCTCAAGTCATAGTTCAAAGGTCATTGAGACACTGATTCTAAAAGGGAAAAGCATCGCAATCTGTGGTTATGACCATCGTAGCATTACTGATTAGTGCTTATCAATAATTGGAATCACACGGAGAATCACATTTCCCATGGTATTTCCTTTTATGGCTCACAGATTTCTCTCCCAGGTCAGTAAATGGAAACTGGGGGAGGAAGAGTTGAGGGACATAAAAATCTATGGGAATGCATGCAACAAAAATATGCAGGACCACTTCATGTAAACTTCTGCCTTCTTCATGCAAAGATGCCTATAAAAACTGAGACAAATTTTCTAATAGCTGAATTTTACGTTAGCTCAGTAACAAAAACTGTTAAACCAATTCCATGATTTTGCATGAGCAAGAGAATTGAAATGGTTCAAAGATTTCCAGCATAAGTTTCCATGGCCCAATTATGCTAATAAGATCTCGAAGAATAAAATGAGACAGGTTTATTCCTTGCTTCGGTTTCTTGTTCTTTTGACGAGGGAGCAGAACAACCCGGTTTTTGGAGGAGGACCCATCAGCATTGGGGCTTGGTTCTTGTGTGTAATTTTTATCTAGGGAAAGAAAGAGAAAGAGAGTAATCTCCAGATATAATACCGACTTCAGAGAATCTCTGTTAAGGTTAATAATATTCTATGAGCTACTGGAACACCATCAGGGTAAAATGCAGCTTCAGAGTTTTCATTACTTCAAAAATATTTTTAAGGCGCTGTGAATTGTGCAAGAATTTGCATTTAAGCCATATTCTAATGCTCAATGTATTAACAAAAAATAAAAATTGACTGAAATCACATTTTAAATATCATGTTACCTCTAACCTCACTTGTGGTAACAGCCCAAAACTCTTTGTTTCAGTCACATGATTATCTAGTATAATTCACTGACCATTTAAAGCAGGATAGGCTGCACCATTCCAGTATTCAGAATCCTAGTTACAGTCCAACATCAAGATATACCAGGGATCAAGGCAAGCGTTATTTATCTTGCTAATCAGATTGTTTCTCTCTTTCCACATGAACTGCAAGGTTTAATTTCAAAACAATCATTAGGAATGAAAGTCAAAAGTTAATGCGCAAAAAAGGTCAGAAATGATGAACTAGCTTTCTAATTTGTTAATTAATTGGTAATAGAATAGAATCAAATATTGAAAAGCCTGCTTAAAATACTTTGAGAGACTGTTCTAAAGCTACTCGTTTTGATTTCTTTGATATAAAACTACGAATCACCTTAAATGAGACAACCTTAAAGTAGATTATGTCTGCAATTTTCTCTAATTCAAGTCTAAATTAGAGAAGACATTTTATGAATATATGCTATGCTCAAAGCTAATTGAAAGCAATTATCAAAGTGGCATTTTGTCTGTGACTTTAAGATACATTGTAAGATAATAAATGATTCTCATTATGTAATAAAAAGGTCACATCTTGCCTTTGGGCTAGTGATGCTAGGAGTTTTTCAAAAGCAATCTGAGACATTTTCTTTAGAGAACTGCGACTAATACAAGAACCATCGCTTATTAAATATCAGTTGTCACCTGCACAGCACCCACATCAGAGATGAGTATTTCTTTCAAAAAGAAACACCACCTCATTAAAAGCTGCAAAAATATATCTCTTAAAGTGCATCCCTGACATTTTCAAGTTAAAATGAATATCCTTCACTTGTCATTCATTAATAGCAATAAAACAAAAAAAAAATGTATGTCACGTGAACAGGATCATTAAAATCAGCACTGGGGCTTTTGGGAAATGGAGATTCACTTCATAGTCTAGAAAGACAGAAGTATGTCAAAAACCTGGAAAAATGAACAATTTTATTTAAGTCTGTTGGAATCAGGTTATTCTGGGAAGACTCAGTGTTCTTCTCTTTACTGTAAAAATAAATTGCACCTGTAAAAGGCCAGTAGGCTAAGCCAGCCCCAAACTCTCTGAATGTATGATTTTATTTTATTTTTGTTATCTTATGAACTGTGGAATTGATAGCTGGATAGTTAAGATCCCAGAATGTGCACATCTTTATAGATTGAAAGAGGTCTCTACCAGATTTTCTCTCTTAATAAATTCAGTTTTAGATTATGCCATGAATTTTTAAATCCCCCTGAACCCTAGGTTTGTATAATATCTAATACAGCATCATTCATTCATTTATTCATTTCATAAAATTTATTGCACCCCTACTATGCTTCCGACACCCTACCAGTAACTTTTAATGAATAATGCACAATCTATGCTCCCAAGAAGTTCTAGTCAAGTAGGAAAAAGAAATTTAAACAGGCATGTTCAACCTATCATAGGAATTGAAATAGGAGGTTAAGCAGAAAGGCACTATTTTTTAATGATGAAAATAAAAGTGATCTTTTTTTACACAAAAACACAATGTTTAAATGAATGCTTGGGGAAGAAGTTATCACATATTACTTATATGATAACCTTAGATTCAAAAAGAACATTAGCAGCTAAAGTAAGAAGATATACATTTCTGACTCACAGTTGCTAGACTAAATTCCTTGGAGTGTATGAATAGTATTAGGACATTTTGGAAAATAAGTCCATTATTAGCAAATTATTGTTAAGACTTTGGAAGAAATACATCATTCTACTTACTTATATAAGCTTAGTAATAATTTATAACTAAGTGTAACCATAGTACCACAAATTATTGGCTATGAGATTTTGTTCACTCTTTGTGTTATTTCTGCATTTGAATTTTTTTTTTTGATCATGGCTATCTTTATACTGGCAATTCTTTTTTGAAAAAAATAACATGTTGCTATTCCTTCATTCAGTGCTCTTGATACAACGGGATCCTTAATCCATGTTACTATTGTGGAGTGCTAGTTTTCAGTTTCTAAGCAAGATGACGGCCACTCCTGTTTTTAAAAATTATCTAAAACCTGTCCTTTTGGTTGTTTGATCATGCCTATGGTCTAAGTATACAACTACTTCTTTAATCTAACATTATTTCCATAAAAAATTAAATCTTTATCTTTATTGTCTATTGTTTATGAAAATGAAAAACAACTGGCTGTGTTTTCCTCTTAGCGGAGATAACATGAAGGAAACTAGCATTCATGAAATGCCTATTATGTATCTGGGCTCTTTGCATACGTAATCTCATTGGATAGTTAAATGTCCTTGTATATTTGAACATAAGTAAAAAGGACTCCATTAAGGATGAGAATAATTCCAGTTCAAATGAGTTAATGGTGTGGTCACAGAAAGTCCCAATGTAGGCTCCAGAAAACTGTAGAGACTTAACTAAGAGTATGTTTAGGTTCAGATTGCCCTTGTGAGGGAACCTGGTTAAGAGGGCATCTCCAGGAATGGAATAATGATTCAGATACCTATTTTGTATACATTCCACACTTTTTGTCCTAAAGATTTTATTTATTTATTTATTTGAGAGACAGAGAGAGAGAGAGAGAGAGCGTGTGCTCACAGGCACGAGTGAGGGGTGGGGCAGAGGGAGAGGGAGAATCTCTCTCTCTTTTTTTTTTTGAGAGGGAGAATCTCAAGCAGACTCCATGCTAAGTACTGAGCACAACCTGGGCCTTGATCCCATGATCCTGAGATCATGACCTGAGCCAAAATCAACAGTCAGATGCTCAAGTGACGGAGCCACCCAGGCACCCCTACATTCCATACTCTTGTAATTTATTTATTTATTTATTTATTTATTTATTTATTTATTTATTATTTAGAGACTGTGATATCTACCAGAAAAACAATGAGTAAGGAGCAGATTTTATCCCTAAAGACTTTAGAATATCTAAGTTTCAGCAATCTGAAGACATGAGCCCAATTTTCAGCAGTCTTCGACTGCCTCCATCTTTCAACAATCAGGCAGTTGCTTCTTAGCTCTTTTTCAATACATCAAATATTTACTGAGCACTGGATATCAGCAATTTGCAACTTGATTTTTATTAGTTTGGAAGAGAATCTGAAATTTATAACTGAGAGAGAATCGTGGGCACTCATAAGAGAGAATTGTGGGTGATGGGGCTTCCAGAAGCTGGGATGGCTGCATGAAGGTAGAAGAACTTTGCTTTAAAAACGAAAGATAAATACTGTCAGTAATACAATACTATCCTATAAAGACTCTTAATTTCTGTGTATTACTTATTCCTTTGCAAAGCAATGGTGGCACAAGAGAGGCACTTCTACAGTTGCATGACTCTTTCTATTTCTATCTTCCAATTACCTATTAAGATTGGACACATCTAAAAATCTAAACATGAAAAAAATTTGGAGTTTTCAGTTTCATAAGTTTTCAGTACAAAATAAAGATGCACACAGGGAAACCAAATCAAGGATTACAAGGCACAGTTTTCTTGTTTCTACTGCATTATCAGTGTTATATAGTGTAACTTCATAATTATAATATTGAGAGTAATAACAAGATCAAAAAATAATAAGATTTGACTCTTGCTGTGTGCTGAGCATTATGCTAAGTATTTTACACAAGTAATTCAGATGCTACCTGTTTCATCTCTTTGAGTTGCCCTCAACAAAAGTCTATTCCCATAAAAGTATTATTGTTGAAGAGTGTAGGACTGAAGTATAATTTCATAAACACGACAGAATAGGGGGTTTATATCTCATAGCAGTAAACAGTGTTTATTCCCATTAGACATTTGTATTCTCTATAAAGAACTTTCATTATATGTCTGTTTTTGTGCCAGTACAGTGCTGTCTTGTGATCACTGCTTTGTAATATAGCTTGAAATCAGTCAACATGATGCCCCCAGCTTTGTTTTTCTTTTCCAACATATCCTTGGTGATTCGGGATCTTTTCTGATTCCAAACAAATTTTAGGATTGTTTGTTCCAGCACTTTGAAAAATGTCATGGAATTTTGATCAGGATGGCATTGAAGGTATGGATTGCTCTGGGTAGCATAGACATCTTAACAATGTTTATTCTTCTGATCCATGAACATGGAATGTTTTCCCATCTTTTTGTGTCTTCTTCAATTTCTTTCATGAGTGTTCTGTAGTTCCTAGAGTATAGATCCTTTACCTCTTTGGTTAGGTTTATTTCAAGGTATCTTATGGTTTTTGGTGCTGTTGTAAATGGAATTGTTTCTCTAATTTCTCTCTCTTTGTTGCATTGTTAGTGTAAAAGAAAGCAACTGATTTCTGTGCATTGATTTTGTATCCTGCCACATTCCTGAATTGTGGTATGAGTTCTAGTAATTTGGAGGTGGAGTCTTTTGGGTTTTCCACATAAAGTATCGTGTCATCTGCGAAGAGAGAGAATTTGACTTCTTCTTTGCCAGTTTGAATACCTTTTATTTCTTTTTGTTGTCTGATTGCTGTTGCTAGGACTTCTAGTACTATGTTGAACAATAGGGTGAGAGTGGGCATCCTTGTTGTGTTCCTGATCTTAAGGGAAAGGCTCTCAGCTTTTCCCCATTGAGGATGATATTCACTGTGGGTTTTTCATGGATGGATTTTATGAACTTGAGGAATATTCCCTCTACCCCTATACTCTGAAGAGTTTTAATCAGGAAAGGATGCTATATTTCATCAAATGGCTTTTTCTGATCAATTGAGA